AGAGAGAGTTCCTGAGGGAAGATCATACCATTAAAAAAACTGTTGGCAGAGCTACTTATGTTTTTATGTGTAGTGTAGGAATGGCTTTATTATATAACAGATAGATAGCTCCAAAAGCACACAGGGCCCCATGGTGCAAAGACAAAAATAAAAACAAGAAAACCAAAATATTTAGATGTCCAAGTTTAGAAGCAGTCCACACTCTTCTAATCTTGGCAATGCTGGTAACTTCTTAAAACTCCATTTAATATGTATTTTTAGTGATATCACTGCAAAACAACCAACTTCTTCTATTCTCTAACAATAAAATGTCACTCGATTAATCTTTTTTTTTTTTTTTTTTTTTTTTTTCAGGATTGGGAATCAAAATTGGGGCCTTCACACTGAGATACATTTCTAGTCTTTTTCTTTTTTTTTTTCTTGAGACAGGGTCCTCTTAATTGCTACATTTCCCAGGCTGGGCTGAAGCTTGTGATCCCCCTGCCTCAGCCTCCTGGAGTGCAGGGACTACAGACGTGTGCCACTGTATCTGCACAAAAGGTCTGCTTTTTATGGAAGCAAACAAAGTGTTCATGCTGGGACTTGTCATTCTTTATTCCTAGTCCAGCCCCTTAAAGGTGCATGAAGTAAGTCTGTTTTTCTGCAAATCCAGACATTCCTGGTTTAACAATCCAGCTCTGTTCCTGGAACCAAGTTGTTAAACGAATTGGTCGCTATATGAGACATATATAGTATGGACCTTGCAATATTCATAACAAAGGAGTGGGCAAAGGAAACTGCAGGGGCCGGGGATCTAGCTCAGTGGCACCGCACCTGCCTCGAAAGTGCAAGGTCCTGAGTTTGATCCCGGGGTACCCCCCCCCAACAAAAACAAAAAAAAAATAGCCTAAAGGAAACTCCAACCTGATGACTGCTTTTATTTGCGCAGGTCTTCCACGCAGCACGGTAATGTATAATAGAACATAAAACCACAGCTCTGCACCGCACCATACAATCAACAAAAACTGCAGTACTGCGCCGCAGAGGAAGTCGCTCAAGGCCACACTGCGGCTCACGTTCCTGCGCGCTAGGTCTGAGCTCAGCTCGGAATCCAACCAGCCGGTACCGAATCCAGACAGCAGCCTCGGTCCTAAGTGCGGAGGGCTGCTAACACATAAAGTGAGGGCTCGCTGCGCCTGAAGACAGCTCGCTGCTGAAGCTCGTCGCTTCCTCTGCAGAATGAACACCGGCTTCTTCCAGCTCTTCGATGGGAAGGCAAGGAGAAGAGCTGCTCGGGGACTTCGTGCTCTGCTTCAGCTGTCCCGCCGTGTGCAACCAGAAGCACAGCAGGTTCCTTCTCCCTCCTCTGCCCCTACCCCTCTCCTTTCTTCCCTGTCCTTTACCGTTTGCTGTGCTCACATGGTGTTTGTGTTTCGGAGTCACTCACCCGCTGGAAGTCCATAAACAAGCATGCTGCTTCGGAAGGAATCACTGGGTCACTTCTCATCCTCTCCTCTCGGTAGGAAGTGGAACCCTGGGAGGTCCGATGGATTCCTCCGGACCCAGGGTTAAGGTCGCTGAGCTTTCGCACCTCCATCTTTCCTGTCCACGCTTGAGTCCGAATTGACCCCCACTTCCTGCACCCTCCAGGGCTACAATGACTTAGTGTATTTCTAGTTTCCATATTTGACATCTTGGAAGAAGACTGTGCCTTAGCAGCACCAGCGCTCAGCATAGTGAGCGACACATAACAGGTGCTCAGTGAGCACCTGGTGAGTGGAAGGCGGCTCAGAGATCACTGCCTGTTTTGAGTCAATTCAAGTCACCTCAGGGCCAGCTGAGTTTCCTCCACCTTCCCATTGGAAATGCCTCACTTAGGAATTTGAGTTAGGCTATACTCTTCCTGCTGTCCTGGCACCAAGCACAACTTCCACTGTCACCAAGATGATTTTAAATGAAACAGAGGATGCAGACGCTTCAGAATGCTGTGCTGTAAACACTCACTGAAACAGACATTTTTTTTGGCTCTTCAGTGTAGAGAGGGAAAATGAATATACATGCAAAGGTTAAATTTCTTTTCACACACACGTGCATATAAAACATGCGTAGAGTTACTGCTGTGTGTGTGCAAATAGAGCAGTGTTGCCTTTGTATATTCCAGCATATGTACCTCTCCCGAATTGCAAAGTGCACTCCAGTTTACGTGAAGTCCTGCGCGGTTAGTCTCACCTCCCAGGCAGTTCCTTGCTATTCCTTTGCCTCCAAGAATGTACGATTTATTTAACGAAACCACCATGAAGCGAATCAGCCAACGCTTGCTCTACCTGGCGGGAAAGTTCCCCAATGCCACAGCGCTGATGAACCAGTCGCTGGGCTCTGTGAGACCACAGGCCCAGCGAGGGAAGCCACCTCCAGCAGCCCTGTCTCCCAGCTGCTTCCCACCGATGTACTCCTGGGTCTCTCAGCTTGGGGAGGGGAATGAGGAAAAGCACTGCATCCCCCGGTGCTGGAGATGGCTGCCTTTCCCTTCTGTTCTCTGCTCTCTCTGTCTCCACACCTCAATCTTTTCATAGGAATGTCCTCAGAAACTAATGTAATTAACTGGAACTCTTTATGTTTTCCTCCCTTCTACTCATCAGAAGGAAAGCTTAGTTTTTTAGTAGGTAGCCAGTGAACACCAAGCATTTAGCCATCTGTTTTGAAATTTTTGCACAGAAAAAGACCTTGAGCTGTTTCAATCTGAACCTCTGGGAACTGATCCAAGAGAGATGAGAAATTCATCCTACCTGATCCCCGCTCTGCTCCTTCAGAATCCCAACCCAAATTAAAGAAATCATAAAATAAGCTGCAAAGTAAGGGAAGTGTAAATTATTAAGTATCAACAATTAGCCTTCTTATCTGGCTTGCAAATGTAGAACACCCTGCAGCAAGGCCTCTTTCTGACCGGAAGGCTGTTTGTTTGATAAATTCTGATAATTTTATTGCCTCTATCCCTGGTTTCCCTGGGGCTCAGTGTCTTAAAGATGCTGGGGTTGGGAGGCCGTTCTCTGTGGAAGTCACATCCAGGTTCGTGACTGGACTTTCCTGGCTTAACTATCTGACTGATTCATACAACCAATGCATGGGACAGTTACTCAGAGAATAGCAGCTGGACTGAGAAATGCCTGTCCTTGGTATCCAGTTCACCACTGCTGCCCGAGCTGCCCAGCAAGCTGCCTGCTTTCTACGTTTTGCTCAGATTCTGGGGGTCAGGAATTGAGCAGGGCATGGTGATGATGACTCGGCATTCCTCTACAAGGTTTGTGGCCTCAGATGACAAAACTCAAGGTTAGGGGTGGCCAGAGGCAGAGAACAGTGCCACCTGAGGGAGCATTTGGTGGCCATTGTTGAGAAGAGGGTTCCATCAGCGAGGGGGACATCCTGGGTCAGGGCTCAGGTGGCCCTGTCATGTGCTTCTCACCGCTTCTCGAATAGCTGACTTCTCAGCTGACTCCCAAGAAGAGAGTCCTGGCTGTCAGAGCCAGCGTCTCACCTTTTCAGACCTCCTTCGAAGGCGGGCAGCCCATCTCATTCGAGTGGTTGTAAGCAAGCCCCAGCCCGGGCAGATTCCGGGAAGCTGACATAGACCCTGTGTCCAAAAGAGAGCTGTGTCGGGGGCACGCTGAGGACAAGCATGGCAACGGGAGACATGTCTGTGACCACCTCCTGAGAGCGCACAGTGGCTGACAGCTGGATGGGGAGCGAGACAGGCAAAGAAATAGATGCAAAGAAAGACTGCAGTGCTTTGAAAGATGCTTTGAGGGCACCAAGCACCCGTCGACCATACGTGGAGAAAACAGGGAGGAGGAACATCTCATAAATGAGGTGAGCAAACAAGCGCACACACATTCTGGTGGAAGTTGTTGAATTTTTGTTTTGGAGGCATAACGTTCACACAGCATTCTTTCACCAGTAGTTCCTATACGTTAAACAGGCCTTAGTCCAGCGCCTCTCAGAGTGTCTTTGTTAGTTGGGGATGAGCTGAAGAGGAGGTGCGGGCTGCAGTGAGCAAAGAGGGAGGAGAAATCACAGCAGGACCGGCAGACCCCGCCCGGATGCAGTTCCACTGGACGCCCAGGCCTGAGGGCGGTGGGCAGCCGGGCCCTGCTGAAACTTGCTCTGCAGCGGAGCCTGCCTGGGCTGGTCCCCGGGGGTTCCCCAATTGCTGGCTGGGGTGAGGGCCGGGCAGTGAGAGGCCCGGTGTCCAGCCAGAAGCACCCCGGCTCCTCCCGTGGAAGCTCCCTGCAGGCTTCCTCCTGTCCACCCTCTCTGGAGGGCAGGACCTGCAGCGGGTGTGGCTGTCGGGAGCACTCTGCACTCTCCCGGACACTGGAAGAGGGAGCCGAGTGCTTTCATGGTCGCTGCCGGGCTGTGAGCGGGTCGGAGACACAGGGAGACGCTGAACCCAGCGTCCCGGCCTGTCCCTCCGCATCCACCAGGAGCTGCCTCGGTTTGCCTACCTCTGCGTGACTGGGAATGGGTGGCAGAGGAAACCTCCATGCAGAGGAGGCGGGGCAGGGGCTGGGGTCTCCTCGCTCGGTTGGCCTAGTCAGCCCTGTCCAGATTTTTAGCCTGCACCTAAGCAGCTCTGTTCTTTTCCGGACATTCCAGACATTCTTCTCTCTGTCATTTGCCTGACGTGGAGCCCTCTCTCCAGAGCCCCCTTTTCATCCTGTTTTTCCCTTACATTCCCAATTCATCTTTCTCATTTAACTTGGCCTTTAGGTTTCCGTTTTGGTGTTACTTTTCACTGGAAGCCTTTCCCTCTCTTTTGATGTTTGATTTGTTTTTCCCTCATTGAGCTTCCGTAGGTCCTGAGCTCACCCCAGACTGTCTTCTTGCGTGCTACCAGAATTGCCTGTCTTTTCTTGTTTGATTTGCCCACGACACTATGAGGTACTTGAAAGCCGTTCCATTTCTGTGCACCTCAAATAAAGTTGCCACACTGCAAGTGCTCAACCAAGAAGAGAGTTACAGGGAAATAGGTAGCTGGGGTTAGAGTCCAACTGGAGGAAAGGACAAGAAGCAACAAAGTTTTATACGGAGATTTTAAGCTATGACATACAGTGTGGTCTGGTGGGCTCGGGCTGTCATAATGAAGTGCTGGGGTGGGAGGCTTAGATCATAGACTTTTGTGTGCCAGTCGTAGGTGCTGGAAATCTAAGATCACGATGCCAGCAGATCTGATCCCTGCCAAGGACTTTCTTCCTGGCTTGCCAATGATCACCTTCTTATTGCGTCCTCAGTGACGAGAAAGAAGCAGCAATAAGTCCCTTGGGGTCTGTTTTCATAAGGGCACTACTTGTACCGCGAGGGTCCCACCCTCATGTCCTCAGATAAACTAAATGCATTCCCAAAGGTCTCATCTGAAAATACTCTTGTGGGAGAGCAACTCAATCTGCGATACAGTGCAGTATTCAGGACCTTGGTGAAATGTTACAAAAACTCACATTACAGCCACCATCTGTCAGTAGGATGCTTTTAGAAATAAATATGTCTAAACAAGTCAAAAATTCTAAAATATATAGGTGAAATTGACTCAGTAATCCTACTTCTGGGAATACAACCCCTAAAGAAATGGTTCTAAGAATGAAAATGTTATGCACACTAAGATAATTTATTGTGGTCTTATTTACAATAGTGAGAAATTGAAAATAATTTGAGGAGTGTAGGAATGGCTAAATAAACGACAATATCATATAATACTATATTATGTCGCTATTAAAGTAAGAGATTTGAGACTTATTTTGCAGCACAGAAAACATTTAATGTGTTATTTTAGGTAAAGGAATGAAATTTTACCTATGCTATAGTTTAAATTGAATAAAATTATGTCCTTGAAAAGAAACATTTTGAAGAGGAACACATGAAAAAGCTGGAGTGGCTGGATTTTGTGCAGGTTTTAGTTTTCTTTTGTGTCACACTTCTTCAGAGCTTCGGTGCTACATGTATGACTTTAACATACTTTTTGGAAAAGAAAGATTGGAACTGAATCATGACGTGAGGCTGATAATTTCTTTCTTCAAAGCACGCACCTAGAGTTTGTTTCAAATAATCTTGGTTAATGGATTCAAAGTCTTATTTTTCTCTCTTCAATTTGGAAACTGCAAGATTAAATCAGCTGGATTTCCATACAATTTTGCTTGCATTTGCATCTCTGAGTTAGGCCATCCACAGGTTGGGGGTTCATCTTGCAGTGGTCAAGCAGCTGTTTGTCCAACTAGAAGCATCTGTGAGCAGCAGTGGAAGCCCCTGGGCCCAATTTCAGCTCTTCCCATTTGTTTGCAAGCTGTTCTGAAGCACGGAGTTGCACCTTCTTTCAAGAAAAGAACTTAAATCTTCAAGAAAAGAACACAACAGAGCTAGCTGCATGGATGTTTACTTTAATATAGAACAATCTGACCAGGAGGGTGGGAGGCAACTTGAGACAGGAAGAGGTGCACCTCGACTTCTTTCTGTGTAGGAGGTCAAGGAAGGCAGTTCTCCTGGGTCTCTCTCTTCATCTGAAACCCTGGAGACTGAAGCCCACCTTTCGTGACTCTTGTGAATGTTGGATGAGACCACATGTGTAACACAGTCTGAAAGCTGCCACCAGGGTTTTCTTCTTCAGGTCTGCACACATTTACCTAGCACTTAGCTCTGTTCCGGGCTAACTGGGAAGTGTGTGGCCTTGAGGCTGGGCCTAGCCAGCTGACTACTTTGTAAAGGCAAAGCCAGAATCTCCATCTGTGGCCCAATGGCCGTCCCAAGGCCTGTGCAGCCATGGCCCAGAGAAGACTGTTGTGTAGAGTGGTTGATGGCTGTGGGATCTATGAGGCAATAGCTCCAGAGGCTCCATCCCTATCCTAGTGAAAAATTCACAAGAGAGAGTACTGCACCCCATAAATGAGGCCGCAACAACATTTATAAAAGCAAAATTGCAATTAGCAAAATTCAGACAACTAAACCCGTGCCTCCTTGACCCAGCTTTGTCTCTATTCTGAGATTGCTCTCTCTTCAATCTGGCTCTGCTTGTGGTCAGAGTTCTTCATCCACAGAGAAATGGGCCAAAAAATACTTTCCACTTAGAGAAGAAAGAAATCTTATTGATCGCCTAGCGATCCTAGGAAAGAGGATAATAAATGAACAAGGCACTTCTCTCATGGCCTCTCTCCTCTACAGATTTCTTGTGTGATGTAGGGCAAATAGCTGAGGTTTTATAAATCCTCGACATTCATGTTTTTAAACTGTTTTAATAATTCTTCCAAATTCTTATGTATGAATAATTCCACACGGAGGAAAGGAAGAGACCACACAGTGGGCTTGGTAGAAGGAAGTTGCTACTGAATCTGTAACCCAGGAAGCCTGAAGGCCAGAGCAGCATGCGTATTTATACTGTAAAGTACCCCGAACTTCATGAGTATTAAGCACATTTAACGCATTTGATAAGAGCTGGTTCTTGGCCATCCCCTCAGACTCAGCACCATCATTTCCCAAACTCTTCTCCACCCATCATCATCATCATCATCATCAACGCCTTCTCCAACTTCCAGTCTAGTGAGGGCACTTACTCCCACTGCAGTCATTTTCTACTTGTCTGCTTCTTGACAGCCGGCCTCCTAGAGCATTTGCTATCCTTTTCCGAAATGAGTGTGCGTACACGGCCTCCTTCCCACTCTCACCATCCCAGCCGTTGCATGATTTTATTGATACCTTCCCGAAGTTCTGTAGCAGACTCTACTCAGTCTTCCTTGAATTGTTCTTGTTCTTTTTTTGGTGGTGGTGCTGTTTCTCTTCCGATGTAAAACTCCAGCCATTCACTTTCTCTTTCCTCCGGGTGGGAGTCTCATTGCTGCTCCCGCCGCTCAGGATCCCTGTTTCTTCTGTGCTCTTGCGCATGCCCGTCCAGCCGCATTTTCACGTCCTCGCTGTCCCCTCGAGCCATTCTCCTTTCAGACTCGTTTTCTCCTCTGTGTCGTGTAACCTCTTGGTCTTGTGCATCACTGTGTCCCAAAAGCACTTCTCTGATCTAGACAGCTTTCTTGTCATCGCCTTTCCATGCTTCTGGTTCTTACAACTCACTTTTTAGGGTCGCTTCCCCACAGGGAACTACAAAGCTGGACAGTGCTTTTTGAGGCTGCCCCGTCCTCTCTGCGATTCCTTCTTTGTTAGGATTCCTGATGGGATGGGCAAACTCCTTTGATGGTCATGTAGACAGAGTCATCAGATCAACTCTCATGATAACTTGGAAAAATATTTTTATTCAATCTTCCTCTTTACTCACAGAACAGGAAGAAAGATGAATTTTATTCAGTCAAAGGTAATCAAGGAAAATGAAGCCTCCATGCCTGCAGCGGCTTGACCAAACTTCCTAACCAGTTAGAGTATGGGGCCTGATTGGTATGGGACTTCCCACCCAGTTAGTAATGCCCCGAAGGGAACAAGGAGTCTGGGCAGAAGTGACTGCTGCTCCCCTTGCTCTGTCATCCTTGTGTTCTGACGCATCTGCTCATCCCGAGCCTGAGTTCAGAGAGAGGAAACACATGGTCGCCCTGCCTCCTTCTCTGCCCTGACGTTGTGGACCCACAAGTGGCTGGCTTTGCCTCCCTTCATGGGCATTCCATGATTTGAACAGCACTGTTTGTTGTTGTTTTCCTCATTTCTCTCTGTATTTCCCACATTCTGGTCCCAATGTAGAAGCCAAAACTTGGCTTTCCGGTCTCCCTAGGGTCTAGGGCTGTAGCAGCTGACCTGGGCTCAGCATCCACACAGTCCCTGAAAAGTACATTCACCACTGGAGGAAGCCAGAGGCTATGGGAGAGATGCTGTCTGATGTGGGTCCTGGGGAGTTGACACAGTGGAGCCCGGGGCCTCTGCCCCACAGCAGTGGACTCGCTGTCCTGTGGTTCTGGTGCTGTGGCTTACCATTTGTCCCTGGAGATGCTGCTTTTGGGCCTGAGGTGGCTGTTCCAGAAACTCTGCCAACTACTGTTTTTGAATGATTCCTTTTTAAAGAACCAGAGGATATTCATTCCACCACAGTGGTACTGCAGTGATCATCATTAATGGATTCCAATGAGTACCCGAAACAATGGGGCCCGAACAAGCTCTCTTGGCTGGAGAGGGGAGTCAGTTGTGAGCTGTTGCATATGTGCAAGGCTGAGCCTGTGTGTGGAGTGCCAAACCAGGGACTAGAAGTGAGGCACAATTCTCCCCTCAAATATGCTGAATGCCAAAGTCAGCCCGTGTCAAAGCAGGCAGGTTCCAAGGTGTGGCTCTGTACATTAATGCCACAGCCTATTCTCGCCCCCACACACTGGTGTTTTGCCTGGATCACGCTCATGGACAGTCCCCGGGTTTATTTTGACTCTTTGTGTACTTTAACTGATGATGTACAAATATCTGTTTTCAAGGTTAGTCTTGTGCAGGTTCGGGCTCCACTCTTCCCCTGCTTTGTAATGGTGACCCCAGAGCAGTTAGAAGGGAGACATTGCCAGGAGAAACATTTGGAGAACAAGACTAAAATTTATCAGTTTAATATTTATAAAAACACGATCTCATTAAATACGTTTTGGGGAAGGCTGTGCTTATATTTTTCCTCTGTAAGGCCCTGTTCATCTGGAAATTGCTTGGAGAGTTAAGTAGCACAGCTAAGCCTCACCCCGGAGCCTGCCGGGCCACTTGCATGTTGGAAGAACGCCACACTATGGGGTCATCCTTCACGTCTGCCCTCTGCCATGTCTGTGCTCTTTCGCAATTGCTTTTGCCTGTGGTGTCCTGGCTGAGCAGTCCCACCTGTGTCCCGAAGACCCTTCTGGCCCTGAGTCATGTCCTTCACCACCTCCCCTGTAGCATCTCCGCTCGTCTCTCCTGCCCCGCAGACTGCTTTAGTGTTTGGAGTCAGAGCCACACAATTTAGCCCTTAGTCACTGCAGCGTGAATCACTCTCGGGCAGAAATCAGCCCTAAGAGTGAGTGTTCCAGGAGAGTATTCCAGTGTTGCTGTCCGTGGACCCTGTATCTCGGTTACTGTGAATAGAAAAGTCACTTTAGCCAATTGTTGTATATTACAATAAAAAATAACACCAGAGGGGCTTTGCGTCTCATCTCAAAACTCGTAACTTGTGCATCCCTGTGGATGTCTACGAGGCACCTCAGCAGAGGCATCCAAGACGGAACTGCTCTGCCCAGGCTGCCCTTCCGTCCCCCTTTCAGGAAGCAGCGCATCATCTTTCTGACAGCACTGGGTGAAGCCCTGGCCCCTCCCTCCCTCCCCTGCTCTCTCAGCCCTGCCCCACCCACTTGCAAACCTCCAGGCCCAGCCTTCAGCCTCCGGAAGCCCTGAGTTAGGCCCAGCTGCTCCCACCTGGCCTCGTCCCTCCGGCAGACCCCCAGAAGCCCTTCTCCGGCCTCTGCCCTGACCCCATCTGCTCATCAGGGTCCTCCAGGGAGACCTGTCAGATGTCTGTGAGTCATGGCCCTCCTTTTCAAGTCTCACTTGGTTTCCCACCTGCCTCAGAGTAAAAGACAAAGTCCCTTCCGTGGCAGAGGCCTCCATGAAGGTGCTCACGGGCTCCTTCCTGGCCTGGCCTCCTTTTTGTCTGACACGATGCAGTAGCTAAGCCAGTACCTTTGCCACTGCCCGGCCATGGCCATGCACAGGCTGCTCCCCCTGTGGAGGGCTCGTCTCTGCTGTCCTCTGCTTGGGACACATCCCCAGATTTCACAGAACTGCTTCTTTACTGATTTGGGTTTCTTTGGCTTCACTGTGTCTCAGGACCCAATCACACCAGGCTCCTAGCCAGACTGTCCTGCACCTGGGCCTGGCTCTCCCTTCGCGACTCGAGCTCCCTGACACACTGCATCAATCATGGATAATTATGTTACTTAATTGCTGTGGAAATATGAAGCTATCATAGAAAATATAATAACCACATATACATTTGAAATCACAAAATATAATCCAAAGCCGCGCCAATATTTGAATGAGGTACTTGCTGTGTTTGTCCCTTCCCATTAGGGTGCTAGTTCTGTGAGAGCGACAGGAGTAGAGCCAGCAGCAGGGAGTCAGGTCACTGTCCTTCAGCCAACGAGGGAGGGCAGCAGCACTCCTGTCGGGACTGACCGAGCTTGCGCTCTCTGCTGGCAGGAAATCACATGGGGCTCTCCACATGGTGAGCTTTGACATCAATTCTTAAAATCCATACAAGCTCTAGGGTATGATTTTAATGATAACTTTTAGTCTCTTGTCACTAAACAAATTAACTTGAGAAACTTTCACTGCCGTGGTCAAGAGAAGAATCTCTTGGGTCAACTGGATGATTCTTCCTGCTCGGGGTGTGTGTATGTGTGTGTGTGAGAGAGAGAGAGAGAGAGAGAGAGAGAGAGAGAGAGAGAGAGAGAGAG